GATCACCTCTTTGTTAACCTCCGCGCCGCCTGGAGTAAGGCCAACGATTACTACAACAAGCTCGATCGATCGCCAGCATACTACGCTGCTACCTGCCTCTATCCATACTACAAATACTACTGCGAGAACAGCTGGGTGGATAAGCCAGAATGGCTAACATCAGCCAACGCTGGCTTCCTGCAGCTCTGGCAGTCGTATAAGCCTCAACGTACACGTCCTCCATCTCAAACAACTGCAAAACCAAGGCATGGAGGAATAGATGATGTGATTGGCGCCCTCGTACGGCGCAACAAGGCTCAGGTAGAGGCTGCCCACGACGATGAGTACGAGCGCTGGAGAACTCAAGAGCCAGAGTGGACAAGCGAACAGTATCTTAGCGATGGCCACCCAGTCAAGTACTGGATTCAATTACGCTCAAAATACCCATGTTTAAGCCAGTTTGCGATTGATATACTCACGATACCAGCATCTAGTTGCGACTGCGAGAGGCTCTTTAGCGAGCTTGGCGATTTACTTGAGCCGCGCCGGCGAGCTCTTGGCAGCGAGTTACTTGCTGCCCTTCAGCTTGTACGTTCGTGGAGACGAGCTGGCTTTGACGGCTTGTACAACAACGGTGATGATGAAGACAAGTGGAGTGACGTCAAAGATGAGGAGATTGTACAACAGTACGATATAGAAGGCTGGAGTACAACACCATAACCCCCTGTATACTACTTCTTGGCATCAATCAGCCAATCAACCAATCAATCGCAATCAATCTGCTCAAAAACCCTAACAATCAATCCGCAATCAATCGGCAGCGTTGCCGCAAGCTAATCAAACCAATCGACAACCTTAAGATTGATTGATTTGATTGTTGCGGAGTCTGGCCGCAACTATCAATTTCTGAACTAGAACAAGCCTGTTCTAGTAAAGTTAAAAGTAGTACACCAGGGCCTGACGCTATTACCAGACTTTCCAAAAAGCAAGTTGACTTGGATTACTTGCTTGACTTGCTTGGTTTAAACCAAGCAAGCAAGTCAAGTAAGAGCTGGGCAGCTAAGCAAGCAAGTCAAGTCAAGATACTTTGCTTGCTTGGCTTACTTGGTTTACTTGGTTGTTTTAGCGTTACTGTGATGAGGGTGCTAAAACTGCTGTACGGTAGATGTCGCGATGGTTTTGAAGTGTTGCAGTTGCCTCGGTTGAGTCCCAAACAGGCTAAGCGGCTATCAAATAACGTTAGCCTTAGTCTAGCGCATTGCTCCAATCTCGACGTACGCCTGTCTAGAAGCCTATCGCAATGCAGTATCCCCTATAGCAACGCGTTTTCCAGTGATTTATACTGCCCTGATACCCCCAATATGGCCAAACGTCGCCTACCACAAACTTCTGCTCGGAGCAAACGTACGAAAGTAGCCGCTGCCACCAACAACGTCGCCTCAACTCCTGAGGCTTCACCTGAGCCTGCATCTAAGCCTGCATCTAAGCCTAGACCTCAGCGTCGATCACCTCGCAAAACCCTAGCTGCCGCAAGCCAGGCTAACGCCTCGCCGCCAATACCTACCTTCGAGTTGCAGTTCTTAGAGTCGCAGGCGGAGGCTGAGATTGTCGCGCCCACCGAGGGCAGCCGAGCTGGCACGGTGGCTACAACTGAGGCTGGAGAGGGTGGTCAGGATGAGACAAACAGCGCACTAGTTGAGAACTTTGACGGCATTGACTGGGCACGTTTACCTGATTTTATCAAGCCATTGGCGCGTTCTAAGCGCCCAAAAAGTTGGATCTTTCAGTATGGCTACCGCGTTGTTGAGCGCCATGCTACATCTCGAATCTGGTTTGTGTGCAAGTACTGCCATGTACACAAAACTATCGACGCTGGCCGTGGTGGTTTGTTTAACATTACTCAGGCTACAACCTCAGCAGCCACCCATCTCAGCCAACCAAAGCCTGGCCACAACCTTACGAAAGATGGCCCAAAGTTAGCGCAGAGAGCTCGAGGCCAGCTGTCGTTGCGGCAAGCTTTTGACGCTGGTTTAGACGTACAACAAAACACTGCTAACGCGTTTGGAAACTTCGACGTAGAGGGCTTTCGAACAGCCACTGTCATGTGGCTTGTTAACCGAAACCACCCGCTCAGCGAACTTACGACGCCTGATTTTAGAGAGATGATGAGATTTGCCAACCCAGAGGCAGAGGCAGCGTTGTGGGTAAGTAATACCAGCGTTTCTACCTTTGTGATGAGGTTGTTCCGGTCTATACGACCGCAAGTTATCGACACCCTGTCAGGCTCAGTAAGCAAAATACACGTAAGCTTTGATGGCTGGACAACAAAGGGTGGTAAACGTGGCTTCTTTGGAGTAGTCGCTCACTTTGCCGACGCAGCTGGAATAATACGAGACTTACCAATCGATCTGCCTGAGCTCGCTGGCGCCCACACCGGTGAGGCTATTGCCAAAGCTATCTCGACGACGCTCTCAGCATACGGAATAACAAGCGACCGATTAGGCTATTTTGTACTCGACAACGCTACCAACAACGACACTGCGATCGCCGCGCTCGCGCGCGAGTACGAATTTGAGTCCGCTCACCGGCGCCTCCGCTGCAGTTGTCACACGCTTAACCTCATCGGCCAGGCTATTATATTTGGCACCAACAAAGACGCCTACGGCAACACTCAAGAGCAGTACAATACCGAGGAGCAGTATATGCGAGAGTGGCGGAAAGATGGCCCTATTGGAGTGCTAGTTGACGTCATCAACTATATCAAAACGCCGCAACAGTACGAGCTTTTTCGTGGCTACCAGCGCCTTGCCAACAACAACCTGCCTGCTGAAGGGCGTCTCAAAGTACTCGAGCCAGTCAAGCCTGTCGTCACTCGCTGGAACTCATACTATGCTGCTTTTGAGCGCGCTACCAAGCTTCAAGCCGCGTATAACTTGTACGCTGAGCATCATATCAATAGGGTTATCCTTGAAGATGCGCACGCTGCGCAGCGGAATAATAAGCGGCCCGACGCCCCAAACTGGATGAGATCAACTGGGCTCCGAGCTGCTGACTGGGCGGTGATTGCAGAGTACCAGGACTGCTTAGAGCCGCTCAAGTACGCCACAAAACGCCTCGAGGGACGCTCTAAGGATGGCAAATACGGCGCAATCTATGAGGTTATACCCGTTTTTGAGTACGTACTCAGCAAGCTTGAGGCCCGGGCGCGCCCGTTCGAGCACGTCGACTTCAACGCTCATGCCGAGGCTCCAGAGGATCACCTCAACGTCAACCTCCGCGCCGCGTGGAGCAAAGCCAACGACTACTACAACAAGCTCGACGACTCGCCCGCTTACTACGCCGCTGTTTGCCTACACCCGTACTACAAGAACTACTGCGATGTGGCGTGGGCAGACAAAGCTGATTGGCTTACTAGTGCCAACGCGTCGTTCCAACAGCTTTGGGCGGCATACAAACCTCAACGAGCACGCCAGCGGTATACAACTGCGCCGAGTAGCAACAACATAGACGAGGCAATTATTGCTATACTTAGCCGCAACAATGACCGAGAGGCTCCACTTGACGAGTTTGAGCGCTGGAAAACACAAGAGCCGCAGTGGACGCAGGAGCAGTACAACGCAGATGGAAATCCTGTCCAATACTGGATACAACTACTGCCGAAATACCCGCATTTAGCGCAGTTTGCAATCGATATCATGACTATCCCAGCATCAAGCAGCGACTGTGAGCGCCTCTTCAGTGAGCTTGGCGACCTTCTTGAACCTAAACGACGTGCTCTGGGCAGTGAGCTACTCGCAGCTCTTCAATTAGTAAGGTCATGGGTGCGAGCTGGTTATAAACCGTACAACTGTAGCGAGGCTAAGCTTTCAGATGAGCAGCTTGTAGGAGATTACAACATACTAGAGTGGAACACTGAGTTTTGGTAATTTGTATGTAGCTTAATCTCTTTGTAGTAGTCAAGTAATCCAAGTACTTGCAAGTAATACAAGCAAGTCAAGCAAGTAAAAAAATCACCCCAAGCAAGTCAAGTAAAGCCTATGTTTGAACCAAGCAAGTCAAGTTTAGAGCGGTGACTTGCTTTACTTGCTTGTTGGAAAGTCTGCTGCGTGCGTTGTGAAGACAACTCTGGTGTCATTAGATGCATGATTTAAGTAGTCTCAGCACCATTTTTTTTGGAAAATCTGACTATAAATCCCTGGTTGATTAAGGCCCAGTTTCTTTCCTGAAAAGTTGCTGATAATTTCTTAGGTCATATCGGAAATATTCAACAATCAGTTCCTTCACCGTCTATCGGAGCTTGCTATTGATACATGAGCCCGTCATGCTCGAATGCGTTAGATGCGACTTCAAAGATTACTTTGTTGCCTCCCACTCCGCGCGATCAGACTCTCCAGATCGAGAGTCGGCAATTCGCTGAAAACTACTCGGGACCTCGTTTCGGAATTCAACCCTGACTCTCAACGTTGCACCACTCTAACGCGCTGTGATGTGCGATTGTGGAATGTTCATCCCCACCCTGTTCTCCTACCGTATCATTCCCACCTATCCAAACATCCCGACTCCACCTTGACCATGTCAGCGATCAACAAAACCCTTGGGCCTTGCTGGAATGGCCACATCTCGATTGAGTAGCACGGGTAGTTGCTGGATGCGGTTAGAATAGCCCCGCAAGTTTTGGACCCTGAGAAGACGTCACTCGCCAAGGTATGATGGCATAGCATCAGCCACTATTGTTCAAATAGGTCCAAGTTGCCTTGGATATGTGTGAACGAACTATTATAATTCTCGCCTGCCGCACCACAAAGCCTGCCCGGACCCGGAAGCATTGGTAGGTTATCGTCTCCGGCACCCTGTACCCTGCTTCTACTAAGGCGATGCAGGGAAATTACAACCCAATCAACTAGTTTGTCACTACCCAGCCACTCACAAGTACGACATAGGTGTGTTCTTAACTCAGTCGGCGAGCTATTTTACAAATCTTTAGCTCATACTAAGCTATCCACAGCCATACCGAACTCAGTATGACTCCACGACCGTCCCTGATGCCGCCCGTCGAGGGCTCCTTCCTCTCGTCAGGCGCCTTTACCCCGTCGGGGCTCACACCCAACACACGCTCTGAAGCTGAAGCTGCCTTCACGTCCAACAGCACCGCGCAGACCGATGCAGCAGCTCCTGACCCACGCTTGCTTCCGCTCATGGGTGCTGGAGGCGGCAACGAACAGTCAGATGATGGCGTCGACGAGGCCCACAAAGCTTATCGCCGACGCGGAATCACTCGTACAAGCTCCACCAACTACGAGAACGCGTTGAAGAGGGCCAAGGAAGCTTCTGTATCGTCGAATAGGTCGGTCGATTCAGTGAGCGAGGGCATTGCTACTGGCCAAACGATTGCGTCGCCTGCATCGACTACTACGCCATTCCCACCACCCGGTCAGGGAGTAGTACCGCTCAACTACGGCTCCTCACCCGTTGGTGTCGCCCAGGGTGACTCGGCCAAGAAGACACGCTCGCGAGGATTGAGCCTTAGTGGGCTTGCTCAGCAACAGGGCTGGAATGAGCAGGACTATAAGCGCGTCTATAGTACTGATCTCATGGAAGAGGACCCCAAGAATGCAGCCGGCTATGACTCAGGATCGAACCCTCAGGCTGCGTAATGCTCCACACGCTACTCTCCTAAGTTGGGCTTCAAAAAATCGCTCACGAGGGCAAGCGAAACTAAACTTGATATAAGGAGCCGGAAAACTGATACCACTAGTTTATTTTTTTATATCATGAGTTACGTGCATGGCTGGGAGTAGTACATGCGAGTAGTACATGCGTTCAAGGTCGCCAGTCGACAGATCTCTCTCAGAACAGAACTAATGGTATTGAAAATTACAAATGTCCACAACTTGTCCATACCAGCTTGCGGTGACTTCTATTGTGTGTCTGTTAATCTAGTCTTGTATCTCCAATTTTCTTCGCATACCAAGATCAATATTAGCACGTCAGTACGCCGTCTTTTGTGGATGAATTCGCACTCAAGGTTGCTTCATGGTGATGCGCCCTGAACATGGTCCACGTAATGTATGGGGCCTATTACTCATGATTATAACGTTGATCCGAACCCTGATAATTGGGATCCCCATCTCTATTCCACATTCAGGGCGAAGGAGTACTCAGTTCATCCATGTACCCCACATCTAAACCCCTAAGCCTCATCACGCAAACACCCATTATCTTCCCCTTTCTCCGCCTCAAAAAATCTACATGAATACAATACTCCCACCACCACCACCACCCACCGATTCTCACCGCCATCCATCCCACTCAGTCCACCTCCTCCACCTCCCACAAAATGCTACTCCCAACCCCCTCAATCACGCTCGCCGCAACCCTCCCCATCGCCGACGCCTTCGCCTCCCTCCCCACCGCGCAACCCCAGCTCTCCGAAAGAACAATCCCCCTCAAATTCCCCTACGTGTCCCCAAAGCCCTGCGTCTTCCCCAAAGCCGGCCCATTTTGGCTCGTCACCGAGACCGTTTCCGTCACCTTGACCTCGACCGACACCAGAGTCACGGTCCCGTACTCATGCTCCGTCTCACCCTCACGGGTTGAAATCGCAAAATATTATTATGTTACTGTTACTAGGACCGCTACTGCTACTACTACCCTCTATGGGCCACATCCAGCAACCACGGTAGGAGAGCATAGTGTGGAGTATATTGGAGACTACTGGGGCAAATAAACGATTCTTCGTCGTGCCACTATCTGGACGGGATGCACCTTGGTGCGAGGGATTTTCCGAGAAGAGGTGGCGCTTCATCTGGATGTATGCGTCTGTGTGTGAAGGGAGTGGCGTGCGAGGGGCTCGCAATTGGTGCCCGTATGATTCGTCTTGCGCGCAAGCTGGGTGGAATTCGCAGATTGCTCGTAAGTGAAGGGAGAGAAGAATTTGGCCATAAACACACTGGAGAAGCTCTAGGCTGTAGATGGGAGCGATAGGTGTGGACAACGGCGGGTCCTTGGAATCTATAAAGTGAGCTTGGAAGTGACATCGACAATATCATTCGTCTCTACAAGAGATAGCCCAACGCGTGTTGTGTTGATCAGTATTTTTCCATGTTACTACTTAATACTGATTAACTGAGCTCCAGGCGCCGTGCTATGCTTTGAAATGACTTTTGTGTTCCTTACTTCCTGTATGATCCCTCTTTATGCTGATCCACCAAGATATCTCCACACGAAATGACCCAGAGAATTAAACATTGGATAACGCTTGCTGATGTCTCCATTCTTACCAAGCCACAGCGCGTATGCGCCCACTGCGACGGCCAGAGCAACAGCTCCATACCGGCGGTAGTACCAAAGACGTAGCCTCATATACTGCATCTTTTTGAGTGCACGTTTCCGAGACTGCTCTCGTTGAAGATCCCTCTCCTGTTTGGCGAAATACCTCTCGCCATCTTCCAGCGTGAGTTGTCGCAGCCTAGTGGTCGTAGCCGACGACTTGAGCACACTGGAAGACGAGATCCACCACCATTCATAACCGTCCAGCGAGGCAGGTGGGAGCCTCTCATACAACTCGACGGTGCGTGCAATGAGAAACTCGACGTCAAAATGGGCTGGAAGCCTGCCCAACGTGACGTAGAGCATATCTTCATCGTCTTCAGCTAGCAGCTTCTCCCTCTTGGAGAGCACGACAGCCGCAAAAAAGTATATCGGCATGGCAGCATGTCCCGCCAAGAAGAAGTCAAACAGCCTAGTAATGTCTTTATAATCTTCTATGTTGTGAGCGAACATGGTCATGGTACCCGCGAGCGCAAATGTAGGCTGGCTTCCGCGTAAGTGGTGGTACAGACTGGGGTCGGCGGCGCGGAGGATGGGACGGAGTAGCTCGAGCTGAGCGAGTGCAGGCTCGAGCGACGACAGCATGAAGTCGCGGATGCGGAGGAGGCTTAGGCGGGCGACGGCGGTGGGGGCATCTTCGGGGCCGAGGACGAGTAGGAAGACCTGTACAATATCGTGGTAGCCCTGGAAGTAGCACAGGGCTGGATGTTGGCGCAGAACATGGATGATGACATTGGAAAGCTCTTGCTTCCGGCGATCGAGCTGCTTCTCAGAATCTGAGGCAGTCAGTATAGACACGACCGCAGTGGGGAAAGACCCTGCATGCCTTTCTTGGGGTAGTGGACAAAGGCCCGATTGACATCCAGGCCGACCTGATGCTCGTCCTTATGCTCGGGAAGGTCCGTCCATGGCTCCTTCCGCGAATCCCTAGCTGAGCATCCTAGCAGGAGCGGCCCTTTCGTAGGTTAGCCAGACTCGGAACGTGGTGGGATAGTGGCCTACAAGCAGTGCAACGCAGGCTGTCGCTAACAAGGCCCGAGGCGCTCATGGCAAGATGCACGAGGGTATCGACATCGCCAGCATCAATGGCTGCGCGTACTAGCGCCTCCTTCTCTTGTTCAGCGGGTGAAAGGTGAATGGCGGGTGAAGCATGGCGCGAGGGAAGGCTGCCGGAGCTCACTGAGCGTGACACCGAGGCAGAGTGGGAGGGTGAGGCCATGACAATAACGGCATCTCGAGGCCTATGCTGACTACTGCTCTGCAAAAATCGAGGAAGCGCTCAATGATGTGACCAACGTGTGCCTCGTATGCGCAGAAGAAGGCGCGTAGGAGATGATGCTGGACGAGTTGTGCGGCCGGGTTACATGACGTTACGTGTCGGTTTCTTCTGAGGTCTGCTCGACATGACGGTCGTACCTTCTTCCCAGACGAGCCGAGGTGCTTGGCACCCCACCAACTGTGAATGGCAACCATTGGCACCTGCGGCGAAGTATCTGCGAGCTGCGAGCACTTTTAGCCTCCACTGGCGAACTACAACTGTGTTACCCGATCCGAACTGCTGCCGGGTCGATCTACCCGAACCATCCTCGGAACGGTTTATCCGTGGCTTCACGGACCCGAAACGCTGCCCGACCGTGCCGCAACAGACGCAACCCCTCCCACGGCACGACGCCCCTCCACCATCTTCACAGCGACCAACAAAAGCAGAGAAGCCATCCGCACCCCGGAATCACAGCATTGGGTTTGCCGCCCTTTCACAAATCCATCGCGATCCAGCTAAGATCGTGGTTCTGTACTGCTGCACGATCATCTGGTGATCTAGATCGGGGCAATATTCCGAATTAGAGGCGCATTACACGAGTCATCTCACGTATCGGACGTGCAATCAGCGGGCGAATCTGCTGATTTTTTGCTTCTTGATAGAGTGCCTAGGGTGCTGTAGCAGTCTCGCAGCCGCCCACTTTGCCTTGTCAAGGGCATCCCGGCTGCGGCTACTTGTCCAGTTGACTTTCCCACTCCTCGTTGCTGCCATCCAATCCAGTCCTTGCGACGCCTGTATACGCATCAATTGACCCCAGTTGCTGTTTGACGTTTCTCGCCCCATAACTGTCTGAGGAGCCTGCCTAGAGGGGTAGGCAGCAACATGCCATCAGTCTCGTCTCTCGACAGTGCGCCTTCGTTGCTCAACCTCACTCTGGCTTGAACCAGTCTTATGCATGGTTGCACGACTTCGCTACTGCCATTGGCTTGGGCTCGTCTAAATTCACATTGTGCTCAGTCTGCCGACCATACGCTGCCCGGGCGTCATGGAAGCAGCCCGCGGTCTCATACTCGTCGACGGCGAGTGGGTTTCCAGACCTCTCGACCCTTATCACATCATGGCCAGCGCTCGGCAAGATGACACTGAGATGCGGGATGCGGTCCCCAAGACAACTACCCAGGTACCAGAATACGGCATATTGTCACAAACCGTCATCTCGACGCCATTGAACAAACTCATCCTTCCGGCGAACATACGTCACAAGGACCTGACCGACATTGTAATGGTTGGAGAAGATGCTATACATATAAAAGAGATTTGTGATTACGGCCATGTTCGTCATGTTGCTTCCAAAACTGACTTTAGTGGCGGTCATATCCTCGCTGCCAAGGTGTTTGGTGATCCTCGCGAAATTCCCAAGAGCAAAGGTGCTGGTTTCCCCATGTCCAAAGATCACATGAAGATGAGACCAAGAAAATTAATCACAGGGGAAGAAGAGAATCTTCTGCCTCCAGAAGTCGTTGTACTCACCCTCACCAACCGAACACTGATGTTTCTCTGGGCTCGGCAGATGCACACGGCAGCTGCTAGATTTTGCCACAAGACCCTCAGACTACCTGCGGGAAGTACACGCTTAGATCGTCTCGGTAGTTTTCTCGCCATAGACCCCAAATTTCGAGCAATAGCCGTGGCAGCACATGAAGGCCGTTTCATTCTATACAAAACCAAATCTATGGAGAGATGGAGGGGAGAATCAAAAGCCAACAACGACATCACTACACCCATTGAAGATGAACGAATCATTTCCCTCGAGGGACAGATCATGCACATGGACTTCTTGTCATCCGGGGCACAGGACGAGTTTCACGTTGTACTTCTCTTCGTTGTGGTCGTCGATGGAAAAACCAAGCTTACGTGCTTTGACTGGGACTGCAGGCAAGATTTGAGCAAGGTCACTGCACGCACAGAGAGACATCTTGTTCAAGATGGTATGTAAGACGACTTATATCGCCCTTGTATAAATCACTGATCGAATCAGAGGACATGATGCCTTCGCTACTCATTCCACTACGTCGTAGTCCCGATTTCCTCCTAGTTTCCAATGATCACATCTCGGTTTACAAAAACATTCTCTCGGGCTATACAGCACGTACCTTGGTACCGATCGACGAGAATATACTCTGCCCACTTCTGCCTGGCGACAGCAAAACCTTGCCACGGTGGACAGCATGGGATGAAGCGCCACGCAATCCTGAATATCAGAAGGAAGCCTTCTACATTGCCAGGGAAGACGGGCGTATAATGTATGTGGTTCGAGGCCCTGCCAATACTGTGGAACTGGACGAAGCCGGCGAATGGTCGTATCGGATCGACACTGCTTTTTGCTTGGTCTAAGTATGGACAATTCCGAAGCATCACAGCAGTACCCCGATATCTTGGTAGCTGGAGGTGCCGGTAACGATGGTCTCCTTTGTAAAGTTGGTTCCTGGCCCGCAGAGTATTCACATACAGTGCAATACCCTGGGACGAACCAGTTTTCTTACGTTGAATCAATACCAAACTGGACACCTCTTACAGACCTTGCAGTTACCCAACTATCCAGTCCTCGCGCATCAGATGAACGCCAAAGATCTTCCATCTTCGTCGCCAACGGCAATAGCCCGCACGGCGAGATTTCCGAGCTCCGACATGGTGTACAGGCCGTCGTAGATGATAGTTTCAGTGGAATCAACGGCTGTGCTGGCATATGGGTGGTTGATCATGGAAGTCATATGGTGGACATTGAAGGCACGATGAAGAGACAACACTACGCCATATTTGTTATAACACTGCCCCCCGAGACACTTGTCATACGTGTTGTCCGCACCCAACCCGAAAGCCGTGCCGAGTTCTCCGGGGCATGGGAGCAGGGTTCGTGGGACAAGTTCCAGACGCCTAGCGAGGATGATCCGCTTGAGGACGATGTGATGCGAGACGAAGAAACCATCTCCGCATGTACCTGGTCAGATCGAATATCGATTCAAATAACCAGTAAAGAGGCCCGTACACTTGTGCGACCTACCTTACGACTGGCTCATTCATTAGAATTTGATACTTCCTTGTTACTAGCTGCCTCTCGGATAGGATGTCCTTTCGTCGCTATTGCTTTCAGAGAAGGGGGTGTTACGTTCCTTGAGGTCATCCCTATATCCACAACCGGTGCCTTTGAGAAGGCCAACAGCTTCCGACACAAACTCGCGTACGACCCCACGTGTATAGAAATTCTGGGGATTGGTGGCTTCCAGTACGTGTTCGTCAGCACGTTCGACTCGAAAATCTTGCTCTTCAAGCACTACCGTGGTGAAACCAGTCGGATAACAGAGTTAAACGAGGACGCATGGCACATCAACTCTGGCAATTCACAAAAGTTGTGTGAAAGCGCTGCAGTCTTGAGCTGTAAAGGGCGACATGTATTGGTCTGTGGCATGCGCGACGGTTTTCTGTGGAGCTCTAATCTTGAAGTGGGAGAAGATGGTATGCTTGATCACGGTATTATCTTAACATTACTGATACTGAATAGGGCTGACATCTTTATCTTCCTGGACGGCCATCCAAATGGGTGCTACGTCGGCCAAGGTAACCCGAAGTGAAACCGACGCTTCCGCAGCATTTGTCTCGTGTGGTTCAGACTTCTGTAGAGTGCGCTGCTCCGCAGCTGAGTCGTCGGACATCCAGCTTGACTCCATTTGGTTCACCGACCGTGCTCATCCTGAGTACAATCAATCTCCGGTCTCGGCAATGTATCAGCTTCCCTTCTTGCAGAACTCGGATGTTGTTGGACAGAATCTCGGTGGCTTTCTGTTCGCAGTTGCTGGAGATAGGCTTCTCTTCTCGCAACTTGATTCTGATGTCAAATGGCCAACCTCGGACGTACCTCCTCCAGTTCCGTATGACGCGAGAGCGGTTCCACGAAAGCTTGTGACCGGTGCCAAACCTACCAACATTCTATACATGCAGAAGTTGCGACGAGTTTTGGTGTCTACGATGGAAGCAAAAGAAAAGCATGCTCCACCACATGGCGAGCGAGTCTTGGAATCTTCGATCAAGCTACTGCGGGTACGCGATGACAGACCTCAGCACGACACAGACATCAAGCAAGAGGAAGAGGTTCCCGCAGAAAGACTTGTTGTAGCCCAATGCTCTTTACTGAATGCCGAGAGAGTGTACTCTATGGTTGAATGGCAGTTCGTTAACGAAGAAGGCAAAAGATACTCTTTCATCATTGTTGGCACGGGGATACAGATAAGCTCAACAAGTCAAAGTGGAAGGAGGTTGATCTTCAACACTGGAAAACATGGCTCCAAATTGGAGCAGCAAAAGGCTTCCACATACTCCGATCCCATCTACAGCATCGCTTTATGGGACAACCAAACAATAATCAGCATTATCGGCAAAACTCTGTCCATTGACCGATTCAGCGAGCCAGACGGCAGGTATGTAAACGCGTCTTCATATAATGGGAGATTCACTAATTGCCTACAGATGGTATCAACGCGGTAAATTGGATCTGCCATCGCCAGGTGTTCACGTATCTGTTAATCGACCATTCATATACGTCTCGACGCTGAAGCATTCGCATCTGTGTTACAGAGTGAGCGAAACAACACGCCCGGGATATTTTGACCTAGCCCTGGAATTTTCGGACAGTGCTGCGCGAAGTTGTGCGCGCCATCTAGTCATGGAAGTGCCAAATGCAAACGTAGCCCTCGATAACAACCGATTTGTGCTACTCACCGACAAGAACAGCGGCTCCATAACAGGCCTCTACCAACCACCAGCACTCGCATATAGCAACGCATCCGCCACTTTATTCGAAGCGTGTCTACCTCGCTCGGTAGTCCGTCTAGATCGCGGCGACATCCGTCCACCATGGCGACGCCCTAACCCTAACGGTAAGGTGATTGGTGTCCTCGCTGATGATATCATCGGCGCCTGTACCGACGGCACGATTTTCGCCCTTGCTATTCTATCACAACCAGCTCGCCATCTCCTCCGCCTTCTCCAAAATCTTATCGAAGTGAAAGCCACCCGCTCCGGCGCCCATCAGCACGCCACCGTCAAGCCTCGCAGTGGTGATATCTTCAAAGTGCTCATGAACAACACCCCTGGTAACCAACATGGCGGCATTCTCATCAGAGACGTGGATCCAAGGCATTTAGAGCAGAACTCGCAGCGTGGCCAGAGACACAAACATATCGACGGAGATCTGTTGAAGAGGTGGCTGGACGAGGGTGGTGATGTAGAGGGTCTGGTGTGGGACGACGCGGATGCGGAAATTGGAGCGCTATTCAAGGATTTGGCGCTTGATGTTGAGGGTACTTGGGGTGTGAGGAGTGCTGGTAAGGGTAAAGATAGGCAGGAGAACAGACAGATGTATGGGTTTGTGAGGAGGTGGATGAAGGATGTGCTTATGCCTGTACTCTGAGGGACGATTGCACTGAGAAAGTGGTAGTTGTTGGCAATAGACGGGGATATTTAAATCGGTGCTTCGTATCTGAAAGACTTGGGTTTAAGTGGTGTGGGTACGTTCTTACGTCTTCTTTCGATCCAATCGTTGCAGCATACTTATCAATCACGACTTTACTTTACGTCAATATAGATAGATCAGCATTATATATACAAAGAACTACGAACTATTTCTCTCTCGCTCTCTCTCTCTCTCTCTCTTCCTATTTCCCTTCTCAAACTCCAGAACCGCTTAGCAAGCAACTCGCACACCACCCGCATACATTTCTCGAACAGTATCAAGACACCACCACTGAAACACCCCACTTCCAGTATCTCACTCGAGACAACTAAAACCTCTCCCACGCCGTCTGAAGCCTACATAAGCCATATACTCCTGGATGATTTACAGATAACACAAACGATAGACAAATCCCGCATCCAAATCACATGCAATGACATCCCCGCGCCGCCCACGCTCCTTTTCATGTCCATGCCCCTGTTTCTGCACATTCCGTCTCTCCAAAAAATCCAGCAACTTCAACTTCAAGCGCAAGCAAGAACAATCATTCAGTTTCATTCGTCTCCATCCCAAACAAGACGTCGAGCCCCTCGTTATACCGCCACAGTCGCTAACGTTAGAAACCCGAGGTAGAGAGAGAAGTCGTAGACGTACTGGTGCGGAGATCAGAACGCAAGAGGGAGAGAGAAGGAGGGGGACGCGGAGTGCTGTTTCAACGACTGTGGGGTTGAGAAGGGCGCAGGCGTCGCAGAGCAACGTTTCTTTGCCGCGTGCTGCGAAGTTTACGGAGAGGTTTGAGGTGGTTGGTTTGGGTGATTAGGTGGGTTCGGGTGTTGCGGTTGCTGCAGTACTGGGTCTAGGGGGTTGGACATCGAGTATATCATGCTCATAAATTCAATTAAGTTACCTGCTGCTGTTGGCCGATTGGTTTGCAGAGGGGAGAATGGAGAGAGCATAAACAGAGACGGAGGTGATCAACTGGATGAAGATGAGAACGGTGGAAAGGGGAGATTCGATGTATCCTTATTTGATGACTATGAGATATGGTTCCATTGATAATCCACCTCGTGAGGATACCGCGAAGATTGATGAGGCTACATAGGGCATCATGCCGCAGCCTTGCAATTATCTTAGTCAATTTCACTGACCACAAGCGTTTTTCTCGCAACACGACCTCCATCAAATCTTTTGCAACTACTAATATCCCCGCATTCCTTTCTCACATAACCGCGACAGCGTGCAGTTCACAGGTACCCAAAAGTTGACAAGATCTGGAACTAAGCCGTAGCGAGATTGGCGTGACGTGCATACCTCCAGGTCTCTTACCGAGGTCGTCTCCTATCTGAAAACGCTCAACGAGAATTGTACTGTACACTCGTCATGATCACGCATATGGCCAAGAATCCTTCCATCCTTCCATCTCAGCAAAATCCTGCGCAATGCCCGTAGCCGCCAGCGTTAGGCACCAGGCCTCCAGTGTCCAAGCCACCGTGCCCTGCCAACTCAGCGTGCAGCTGCAGTATGCACGCCTCGCTCACGTTTCACAATGCCATTGGGTGAGCGTGCCCTCTTTACGCGAGGGGCACGCCGAGCAGTTAGGGGCCATCGTGCCCTCTCGCTTGTCGTTCGCGATTGGGGGAGCGTGCCCTTTCAGCACACCCAGCTGCGAGGCCAGAGTTTCAGCTAAACAACCGGGACTTTGACCGGATTTTGGCAGGATTTTGTGGTGCAGGGAGGGTTGGAAGCGAGCTTGCATGGGGGACGAGGCTGGTTGTTGCGATTCTGATGAGAGGGTACGCGGTGATGGGGACAGAGCATCAGAAGGGTCGAAGCGATTGGATTTTAGTGATATTTTTTTGTAGATACCGAAATACTGTGTATTAATACGCTATTCTAAAAGCAAGGGAGTGAAAAGCTACGGGCGTGAGGACGGACATGTAGAAAACGAACCGAAACATGACAACTCCTTCAAACAAGAAAAGAAACTTCGTCAGCTATACAATGTACTCTGTGCCATTCGTTCCAGTACATCAAATTGAAGACCCAAAAAGTCGACGCCTCAGTGATCGTTCGTGGCATGGTCAAAACACTCCCCCAGGTGGTAGAAGGTCCTGTTGCAGCCGATGAGTGGGCACTGGAACGTGGGAACCTGGTCGCGTTCCTGGTAACGGTTTCTGTGGCCTTTAGCAAGGTGATCTTGTAATTTGTCGTTGCGGTAGAAAGTCTTGCTACAGCCTTCAACGTTGCACTCAAAACGAGGCGGCAAGTGTTTCTTTGCGTGGCGGCGCATTTCACTTGGGCGGCCGAATGTTTTACCGCAGCGAGTGCAAACATTGTTGGTAGTCGTCGCTGGAGCTGGGGCTGGTACAGTAGGAGCTAGGGTTGTAGTGTGGTAGACTGCCTCGCTCTGCTGAATTTCGTCTGCGTTGGGCATGGGCATGGGCGGGCTGGGCCCGGGAGACATGATGTCATTGGCAGTTCCAGCTTGACCAAGCTGAAATCCATTGAATCCAAAAACCACGTTTCGGTTCAATGGGGGGTTCGTTGAGGAATCGATGAAAGCTTGGTCGAAGGATGATGCCCCGAGATCCAAGTCCACCCAGTTGTAGAACTCAGGGACCCAGCCGGGGATGTCGCCATTGGGTTGGTCGGAGTGCTGAGAGTAGGTGGGTCCAGGCTGTGCTCCTTGCAAGGCTGCATTGTTTTCTGGACCATTGAGAGGAATGGTGGCGTCGAGGGGGGGGGTGCCTGAGAAACACGGAGCATTGTCTTTCAACAGGGAGGCATACCTGCATGATGTTAAAAAAAACCTACTGCATTTGTTGCATCTGGCTGCAACTATGAATTGTACTGGGGAGCAGAGTCGGCTCTTCGGTTTCACCGCCATCGCTATCATGATGGAAGGCGTAGGCGTTGGGCGGATGCTCTGCCATTTTGCAAGAGGGTAGCTGACGGATGCGTTTTTGTGAAATAAAGGGTATAATGACGAATATCTTCAAATGATACAGTTGAGGTGAACAAAATGGTTGATGAAGTTGAAGGCTTAGTGCGTGTATGCAGGGTTTTAGCCTAGGTAGTTATGCTTGGATAAGAAGGGGGGTGTACTTAGTCAGCCGTGCCCTCTTTCGCCCTTCACATGCGCCTCAGCATTAACTAGCCACTAATTACCTAGGCGAATCTTATGCTTAGGTGGAAACCCGCTAAGCTTTTACATCCTCAGAACATTCCGACAGAAGATGAATAAACCCAGCACGCCTCAGCATAGCACATTGCGAACATGGCTTCTGAATCTTTTATCTGCGATTGGTCAAGGTGCTCCAGGTCTGCTGCTACGCAAGGGAAATTGAAGTAATTCTATCTGCACAATTCAGCTTACGAATACTAATGCTTGATAGTAAGCACAAGAAAACACATTCAAAACCGTACAAATGCGAGACGTGCCACGTCAGTTTTGGTCTTAACTCAGATCTCCAGCGGCACATCAAAGCTCGCCATCGCGCTGGCCAACCGCTACACCGTTGTCATTATCCGAAGTGTGATTTCTCTACGATCCGTAAAGACAATCTTAACAAACATATTCGGAAGAAGAGTCACCAATATTCTGTTGAACAGCAAAAAGACATGGTAACAGAGGCCGAAAAGGAGATCCCATCGACTTCCGGATCAGCTCTTGCTGCGGCCGACAAAGGTGTTGTAGGGGGTTTCAACACTTCCATACTCTTACAGGCGGCTGCCTCCGGCAACATCGAACTAGTAGAAACTTGCTTACAAGTTGGTGTTCCAATCGAATCAAGAGCTGACGATGGCTCAACACCACTTCACTGTGCTGCAAGGGCTGGCCAGGTTGATGCGATGGCTCTTTTGATTCAAGAGGGGGCTGACATAACAACTCGGAACTTATCAGGCATGACACCAGTAGCTCAAGCAATAAGAAGTCACAACCTCGACGCATTGAAAGTCTTCTATGACGACAAGGTATGGGAACGAGTTTTTCACACTAATGCAATCGAGTCTGAACACAAGAAGCTTCTCGTAAAATATGGCACGAGCGAGATGTTCCAAGCGCATCTGAATCAGTTTGGACGCAGTTATGACGGTGTCTCTCAAGAGGCACTCTTTTTAGCTATACATCACGGGAATGTGTCCCTAGCTATCGGGCTTTTGGACTATCCAAATATCGACGTCAACAAAGAATATGGTCAAAATAGGCGGCGACCAATTGATATTGCAACACAGTACAATCGACTTGAGATAATGAGACATCTAATCAAGATCCCATCTATCGATCTGTTGAGCAGGACTCGGCGAGAAGACACAGTCTTACACATTGCAGCAAGAGAGGGTCACCTGAAGATGGTCAAGCTATTGCTAGGTCAAGAGAAAAGTTTTATCAACGCAAGGACACTCAAAAATGAGTCGCCTTTACATCTCGCGTCTTTTCAGAGGCACACGAAAGTCGTTGAGTATCTTCTCTCAGTACCAGGAATCGACACCGACGGCAAAGACTCTGCGGGATCCACAGCTTTGCAGCTTGCTGCTTTTAAGGGAAGGTGGGAAACGGTCCACCTATTGCTTGAACATCAGAACGCGCGTTTTCTTCAAGGTTTCTCGACGAATCTCCTGGGCACTTGCGAGCCATTTGTTAGGACAGAAGTCGTTCGAAGGTTGTTAAAACACAAGGACTTCAAAGATCCAAACATAGGAGAACCCTGGGGTCCACGTAGTAGATCACTTCTGCATTTGGCAGCTGCAAGAGTAGATTGCGAGCTTATAGAGATTCTGCTGGAGCACAAGGATATCAATGTGAATGCATTGACGGCTTGTAAAAGAACGCCTTTGTATCAGGCCGCGGAATGTGGCCAAGTTGAAGCTGTGAAGCTTCTCCTCCAACATCCGGATATCCAGTTAGATATGAAAGACTGGCATGGAAGAACCTCACTGCGTATCGCAAAAGTCCGTAAATACGACGAAATAGTCGACCTCCTCATCTCCTACGGTGCCAAAGACGACGAAGCCAACACTCTCTCGACCATCACCCAACCCACCACCGCTTCAAACGCAGCAAACACCATTACTCCACAGACCACCTCTTCCCAACCAAACAACGAATTCATTCTGACCCCTCGAACGACCCTACTCATGGGGATATGATGGAATACTGGGACTTCTCTGTTGACACGGAAGACGAATTGTCGGAATGAGGAATCTTCCAGCTCATGTATCGCACTTTTCCTGTATTTCCATATTCACGGTCGTTACTGGTTTTCAATGTATCTTTCCTACCGTCTCTCGTTTAAATAGGCTAGAAATTGATTCGTTTAACCTCCACAATATGCAACCTTCTCCACCAACACAAGTCTTGAGCTTCCAGCTTCGTGATATCCAGTATGACGATTCCGACAAGATAAATCCGCTTCGACAACCCCACATAACAAATCCTTTCTATCGTCTCCCATTGCCTAGTAAGTTTTATTGCCTCCAAAGAAATCATGAGAAGAAAAGCAAAAGGCTAGCTTGAAGAGGAGATATATATATCGATTTCACATACTACTTTGTACATATATACAAAAAGAGGCAGGTACCACCATTAGCGAAAACAACGACAAAGGAGATTTGAACAGGAAAGAAGCATCAGTACATCGAAAACGCCTAAGCACAGGCTTCAGCAGAAGGAAACAAAAGAGTCGAACGAGGTGAGCAGAGAAATCACATTCACTAACACCTATAACACCAACCCATCAAACACCACACCCCTACAACCCCATACGAAATTGCCTCTCCTGCAATTGATCATACGTCCTAGGCATCGTCTCAATAGCCCTAACCGTATCCGGAGCCCTCTGTTCCAAAATCTCCGCCATCCAAGCCTGCGCCTCCTGATCATACCCAAACCCGCTCCTCTCATCCTGCCTAACCTGACCAAACGCCTTTGCCAGCACAACGAGCGTCTTGTAGCGGGGCATTACGCTCGATTTCTTGATTTCGTAGTGCCGCAGCTCCATGAGCTGGTAGCCTTTGCGGTCGTGGCGGATGTAGTTTGGATGCAGAGTGCGCCAACCGGGGAAGCGCGGCATGAGGTATTGTTCGCAGAGGGTGAAGGCTTCGACGAGGTGGCCTGGATGGAAGGCGAGGTGCTGGATGTATTCGTTCCAGCTGAAGTTGTCGACGAGGTAGCCGTTGACGAGGAGGTCGTAGATTGTGTGTTTGACTTTTTCGAGCGCGGCGGGGTCCTTTTGCGCGAGGAGGCTGCGGATGTAGATGCGCGAGGGGGTGGCAAGCATGTGGCGTCTGTTGCTGGCGAGGCGCGATTGAGAGAAGCGTTGTTGGATCGTGGGGTCGTGGAGAGAGACTATTTCAGGGGCGGGCTCGGGTTGTTGAAGGACTTGGTTGAATGTCTTCGTTAATTTGGTGGCGGACTCGCGTGCTAGTTCCCAGCATTTGGCTACTTCGTCGTGTTTGCCTGCTTTGTAATGGGCTTCCATCATTGCCGTGGTAAGGTTGAGTGGCCTTATATAGTTTTCTGTGTCGGGTGTCAGCTCTTCAGCCTTTTTGAAGAGCTTCTTGCAAATCCTGTAGCTCCATCGATCGCTGTACAGCGAGATCACTGTTGCGTAGTAGTGCTGTGGAACACTTCCATAGGCGTGAACATCAATACCGCGTTGATTCCGGGGTTGGTCATGAACAGAGTCTGTATCTACGCTCGACACAAGCATTTCCTCAAGCGCTTTTCCCATTTTGAGCAAGTGGTAGTTGGGGAGCTTGCCCTCTCGGTCTTTGAGCTTTTCTATATTGGCTTCGCCTAATACTCGAAGCGAAGCCTGGCGAGCGCTCTCAGTCTCGGGTACGTTGCGACCCTTCATTCGCTCATAAGCATCCATGGCCAAATGATACTGCTTTTCTTTTAGGAAACCACTCATGACTATGGCATAGTGAAAAGCGTGGACCCGGATATTTTGTTCTGGCATTGCCACCCTCAGAATCTTGTAGGCAGCATTAGTTTGCTTCACTTCGACAAGCGATCGCATCAAGCTGCCAAAAGTCCAACTGTCCAAAGGAATGCCGTTTTGGACCATCTGTTTGTAGTATTGCCTACTACCTGCAAGATCTCGATTCAGAGCTTGCTCCTGGATCAATAGGTTCCACGTATGGGTGAGAGGTTCGCCATAAAGAGTTCCATTCTGCCAGCTCTTGAGCATCCCGAGGGCGATTGCTTCGGCGCCTTCAGGGTCGCCTGCGTTGAGAAATGCTCGTACGTAAGCCGATCTTGCACGAACGTTGCTGTCAAGTTGCACGCCCATCTGCTTTGCTTTTGAGAAGAGTGCTTCAAAAGCCTCAATATCACCTCTTGAAGCACAGAAGTTGAGCAGAGGGCTGAAGGTATAAGTGTCTGGTACAAGACCAAATTCGATGCAGTTGTTGAAACATTCAAGAGCGCCATCGAGGTTGTCTGCGCGAAGATAGGTAAGAATCAATATATTCCAGCAACTGAGGTCCGGGGTCATCTGGTACTCTTGGTGGATGCGCGTAAACTCCCTGATGACTCCATCAACATCTCTGCGTTTAGCATACGCGTAAAGAAGCGATGTCAGCAACTGCAGGTGCAGTTCGCTGGGGTAATTCGAAGCAAACTCTTTGAGGTATTCTTGAGCTTTCTCTGCATCTCCTTTCCGTGCATAATACATGATGAGGCGTCTAAGGAGCCCCGGACGCAAAGGCCGCGTGGGGTAGAAAAGACGCAAATCATTTATGAATTCCTCGGTATTTCGCGTGGCATGATGTTCGGTGTATTGGTTTACCATATTCCTAACCAGATTCTCAGACGGTCGTGTTTTGGAACCACGTTTAACGCTATCAAGGTGTCGCTGACGATAAGCCCTGTACAACGTGTGCCAAAGTTTACGTTTGTTGGTATACTGTTGGTATCGAGGAATCTCCAGCATCCGCTTGATAGCATACTCATAGCAAGCCGAAGTACAGAGATTCATAGAATTGAGCTCGTCAAAGGTCTGCACGAACCAGTCCCAGATAAAGTCTTCGTCTGGGTCTTTTGTATGCAGAACGCGGTGCATTACGTTAGGGACAAAGGTCATGATAAAACAGCGCAAGTCCCGCCTATAGCCAACTCTTTGAATTCTTGGGGTACGGTCGAGTTCTTTTGTATACGCTCGAAGGTATCTGACGAAGGATTGGAAGTGCTCTACCAGTGCGGGTAATTGAGCCACATCCGCCCAAATCTCTGGGAAGATTTCACCGAAGCGAATCTGTCGATCTACCGCTTGTCCACGATGTTTGGGATATTTTCTGATGAAAACCCTCCAGACACGGAAGGTCAGGTCCCATTGCTCGTCAAGAACAGTTCGTCGGAGAATGGCGTTGATACCGCAGTGAAGCATATCGAAACCTTTGGCCGAGTCAATTTCTTCCAGTATCTTTATTGCTGGACCAACCAAGCCAGATGTAGCGTAGCCGACAATGGCTGCTTGATAGGACGAAGGTCGGCGAGCTGTTGGGTCCAGGTCTGTATATACGCGGACTACGCGACTAGGAACGGCAGGTATACCATCTGCAACGAAATATTCCAGGAGATCACATTTCAGCTCATGCTGGTCCACCAATAGGTCTACTCCAATAGCGTCGTATAGTTGCCATGCCAACTCCTGCTTTCCGACCTGTCCAGTACGCAGAAGCTTCTTTAACTCGGTGATAGCATCAGATGTTCGTATTAGAGTGTCCGCCTCCTCCTTGATCTGCTGTAACACTTTCGCGTCGAGGTTCGGGTCTGCATGCAGGGTCTGTGGCGGAACGGTAGAGTAGCGGCACACTTGGTTTGTACATGGCAGTGGCCGGTTGTGCGATGAGCGTTTGAGGAGGGCGAACGTCTGTTTGGGATACAGGAAGTCAAGAAATATGCCGTGGTGGGTTCTATCTGGTTTAGGTGTTGTGTTCCCGCGTGTGGTTTGAACACTCGAAGATGCGGCCAGGACATGGCTTGCACGGCGGTGCAACAAATTCGAATGAGCCGCGTGCCGACCACGTAGACATGTCGAAGTACGTTCAAGCATTAGCCCAGATATCCTAGCCTAGCCACAAATTGGACGTTTCGTGATGATGCGCCTGCGATAGCGAAGAGAGGGTGGATTGCCACTTTATGGCGATAGTCTGATAGGGCTGGTGTTAAAATGGAAAGGAAAGCAAGCCTAGTATACACACATACACCATGTTAACTAGCGTGCGTGGCAATGCCGCGCCCGACTTCTTCTATGATCTTGACATGGAAAAGTTGACTCGGCAAGACTAGGTGGAGCATGGAATTAGCTTGGCAGGGCTGATGGATAGCTCGCCAATTGATGCCCCTCGGAGACACACCCCACAGTTGCACTTGCATACGAGCAACAGCAACAGCAAGAGGACCATGGATATTACAAAATTCGTCACCGACTACCGCGAGTCGGCCTTTCTCGTGGGCGACTACAATACCTACCGCGATCAGCTTTCGCGCCGTCTCCGGATTGTGAACAGGAAGCTCGGCCGGGCCACGCCCAAGAATGCCAAATATGCTGCAAAAGCGCCTGTGACTGCCGAGGATATCAGCAAGAACAAAGAGTATGGCATTGACCGGATATTGCACAATCGCACGCTGACAGGAACAGGGCTCTCCATGTTCTCTTGCTCAGCTCGGAGCGGGCATGGGCGCAAGCCATGGCCATGAAGGCCTCGCACTCTGAAGACAAGGCCGACAAGAACATTACTGGCTCTACCCGCCGACACATTGTCTCTCGCCTCCAGAAGGCTGTTCAACATGCAAAGCAAATGGTCGACCTGGTTTCCGACACGAGCGCAAGCGGGGCAACCGAGATGGATGTGCTCGAAGCACGGGCATATGCGTATGCACTGGCTGGAGCACAGGAATTTGAGAAGCAGGCTGAAGGCACAAAGAGCAAGAATGCAAAATCGGACCGCTGGGCTACGTGTCTCAAAAACTACTCGGTCGCGCGCGTAATCTATAGCTGCTTGTTGAAGGCGACCAAGAAGGATCTGTTCAAAGACGTCCTTGCTGGCACCATCGACCCGAGCATACGCTATGCTGCCTACCAGAGTCGCATCCCACGAACTGTGGGTGTCCCCGCTGTCGCAATCAAGTACTTCCCCCAGGATGAAGCAGAGCTCGTGCAAGCTGTGAAGAACGTCGACCCAGCAGCCCTACAGGAGGAAGAAGCAGTCTCCTCTCGTGAGTCAAAAGACCCCATCATTGAACCCCACTAACAACCATCAGACTCACACATCACATGGCGCGGCCGCACAGCAAACGTAGTGGATGCTGCAATTGGCCAGGCTCTGGCATCCGTTGATACCGCCTCGGCCGCCCTAGACCAGTCCACCAGCTCCTCCACGTCTCCCAAAGACCGGGCCAACGCATATGATGACATTCTCATCGCAAGCCAGGACGCCGTCGATGCGACGCGAAGGGCCATCGAAGAGCTCGAGAAGGAAGGCGTCGACGAGGGCGATGCGCGCATGCAGGATCTCCGCGTGACGAACCTCGCAGTCAACTACGACCTCATATCATGGAGAGTAGGGCGCAACCGAGTGCTCATTGGCAAGGACGATGGCCTCACATTCCCTGCAAACCCACCACAAAAACCCCGGCGGCAACGCAAAGACGGCAAAGAATGGGCAGAACGCGAGGAGCCCACTGGGCGCAAGCTCGCACGGTTACGGGAGCGCATTGCTTTGTACGATGCTATCCTGCAAAGCATTGACTCTGTCAAAGATCTTAGAGGAGCGGCTCGCGACACTGCCTTTGTAGCTGAGCTAGACGGACAGCGCACATACTTCCAGGCGCTCAAGTGCCTGAACCTGTCGCACTCGTATGCTTTCCTGTCGACACCAAAGCAAGCATTGGCGCTCTGCAACAGGGCCCTATCACTAGCAGCTCAGGCAGCATCTGCCCCACGGTCTGATCCGTCTCCAAGCTCCAAAGCACCCAAGCTGGAGGTATCCGCAGAGCAGACACAAACGCTCAAGACCAGCCTAGAGAATCTCAATTCCCATTACCGAGGCGTGGTGGCACTTTCTCAACTGTTTGCCAACTCGGATACTGCATCCAAGGCTGGACTGGCCAACGCGGCGCCTGTTGTAGAGAGGCTCAACGAATACCCGTCGTCAGGCTCAGTCGACCTGAAAAACCTAGTCACATGGCCTCCAAAGCTCAAGCCTGTGCCCGTCAAGCCTCTATTCCTAGACGTTGCGTGGAATTACGTCGAGTACCCTGGACGCGCACCGCAAGTGCAAGAGCCAGAGCCAGAGAAGGCGCCAGTCGAGGAGAAGAAAGAGGAGAAGCCACAGGCCAAGAAGGGCTGGTTCTCGTTTGGTAGATAGCAGCAATGCGCGCGTACTTCGCAAGGATGCATCCATGAGGATCGCCGTTGGTCGCTCAAAAATCTTCTACCAATGCAAGCCTCACAAATCAGGGTCTTTGCAATTACAAGTGATGGTGATGCTCCTACCTGCCACGGCACGCTCAAAATCGCCGAGACAAGATCTCTATGCCCGTTTCTCCTGGTACCTGGATGCGCCACGCTCGCGCCATGGTAGCCCTCCAGATTGCACCTCTATTTTCGCGACAGCCACAGATTGCTGCTGACATGCACATGATTGGACGGGGGCCAGGTATGTGCCTTGCACGGCCATTGTGGGGCTAGTGTGCCTTGGAGCCTCAGGGGCAATAGCATAAGCGCCGTACAGCGTGAACCATAACGCGCCCTGCCGGGACGGTTGTTTCGTTTCAGCAACCTGTACCTCTTGCTGCAGAGCACGGCATGGCGTCGGTCACGACCGTTGGAGAGGCTGAGTCGGTGAGCTGTGTTACGCCTTGTTGTGACGGAGGGCTGCATGGTGAATTGACCCAGATATCAGCGACAAAGGTGCAACACCGTCAAACAGGGCAGCTCGAAAGGGTCTGGAGGGGCGCTTTGGGGTAGCAGTTCTGAGGTCATGCAGGTAGTTAAATTAGTTAAATTGAGATGGGTGGATATCGATAGCACCCCTAGCAGCGATACGAGCGGGCACTACTTGGTATGACCCCTTATCCACAAACGCGCAGAGAATGTATCGTGTACCTTGCAGCTCAACTTTTGGTCGTGCTCGTTCCTCTCAACACACTCTCTCTCGTTCAACACTCTTTTCAGCTGTTGTTCTTGCGTCCGTCGCTCTTTACCGTCGCTCACTTAATTAATACCACACTCTTTTGAAAGCTCTGCCTGCTTGCCTACGTTTCCGTTGGTGTACATTTCTACAGCCCGCTCGCTCCGCATAAAGGGATCACCTCCGTACCATACCGCCATCTCGAGGAGCGCCACGCGTTTCTCGATCTTAATTCTTCATCACGGCTTCCGCACTGGCTACTTCGATTCTCCCTCGGCCCCAGGTCGACGATTCCTTTCGCAGACCCTCCATACTGCAGGTTTTCGACCTGCCAGCCTTCAGGACGCCGACTACCGCCAATTTCGACGACAAGCTGCCATCCATCGGCCACGACATATCACGACCCTCGTCAAGCTCGACCGTGGCTTCCTTTACCCAGCAACGACCTGGCAGCAATGCCTCGATCCAGCTGCCCTCCCTGGCCACACTAGCTTCGGCCGCGTCCAATTGCCCCGCCGCGAACATCAATAATGATAGTAATGATAATATGAAGAGAGACACGCCCGAGAGAAAGGCTCCATCTCCGCTTGGGTACGTGCAAAGTCGGTAGAGAAAGCCCGAGTGCTGCTGCGCGCGTGGCAGGTGCGGCCCGCCGTACCTGCCTGAAGGGCTTATCGCAAAGCTTGGCGTGGTGCCGCACCTCAACTTTTCCAGTCGCCCACTAACATGGAGTCCAGCAAACCCTCTCATGGCCTCAGCATGACTTATGCAACCTCTGCGCCCGCGACTGCCGGTGGACAAGCAGGCTCTCCGGTACGTTGAAATGCCATTTTGCTGATGTTTGGTCGCAAGGCCATGCGCTGCCTCGCGCTCCGATTTTGTCTCTTATCTAATCGATAGCCATGGCCCGTACCGGTATATGCTCGACAATACGTACCTATGCTGACTCTCGATAGCCTGTCTGCCAGAACTGCTCAACAAGCACCACGCCGCTATGGCGCCGCGATGAGACGGGTGCCGTTCTCTGCAACGCCTGCGGTCTCTTCCTGAAGCTGCACGGCCGGCCGCGACCCATATCGCTCAAGACCGATGTCATTAAGAGCCGCAACCGTGTCAAGACCGGAGGGCCCGGACGCAAGAGGGTAAGACAGCCGCTCTTGTACGTGATATAGTTGTCTAACGTACCACAGACCAGCGACCAAGGGGGTCTCCCCGCAGCGCATCCTGATGCAGATGGCCAGCTAGCCCTTGCTCAGCACCGCCGCGCATCAGGTAAAATTTCCTCGGGCCTGTCGGACCGTTCGCAATCACCCATTTCGCGCACCGGTACTCCCAACTTCAACCATCCCTCCAACATTGCGCCCCAGCACATGTTTGAGCAGGCCCTGCATAGTGATTTCCACTCGCCCTCGTTACCAGGCTTTGGTCTCCGTGCTCCTTCTCCCGCCAACTCATCCATCAATGGGTCGCACCTTGAAGCCCCTCTGCCCTACGAGACCCTTGCTGCACAGAATACTGCGCTCAAGACTCGTGTATCAGAGATGGAACTCATCAACGACCTTTTCCGGAACCGCGTCAGCGAACTCGAACAGAGTGAGCAGTCAGCCCGCCAGACCGAGTCTACACTGAGGCAAGAGTTGGAGGAAGTCAAGCAACGGGAAGCTGACTTGAAGAGGCGGCTGGATGAACTTGAGGGTGACAGCCCGAGGCACAAGAAGATGAAGATGAGCGAATTCGTCGACGAAAGCCGCGCCGGTACGCCCATTAGCGCAATGGTGGACTAATCATGAGGCGTTTATTTCTAGTATCTATCACGACTTTTTCATGTACGCGGGGAAAGGGGTTCTGATGCGACTGGGCTGAGATGACACTCGATCCATGTCTTTTCTGCTCTCCATGAGCGTTGAGCGTCGACGCCAACTCTTCTAGGTCGCTTTGACCACATAATGTCTGAATACCACTTCGTATCGCTGCCGTCTTCCGGCGGTGACTGTATTGTAATCCTGCTTTTCGCTCCGATACCAAGTCTTGATGCAGGTGGATAGATGGGGGGGCGGCGGGGTTGGTGTTGAGTGGTGAGGGAAAGGGTTATGGTTATGTTTACCAAAAGTTTAAATGTCGGGTTTAGCTAGTTGGATCAAATGGAATGAGTCGAAACGATGATCTGCCTGACGATTTATATGGTCTATAGTGTTGAGTATTGTGTGAGGACATTGTCTGATAACCTAGGATAGTATATTCCGATGCTCGTAATCTGCTGTCCAATGAAGAGACGTGAAGCCAATGCTGCAAGATAGAAGGTGAAGATTAGTAAAGTAGTCAAGTGTAGCAAATCAGTCGAATGATTGCGAGTTTGTTAGCTGGACACAATCGAAACAGATGCAAATCTCCCGGTATCGGTGCCAGTCTATGTACAGAAAAGGCAATGTAGAAAGTATTTCGAATGTTGCGGACTTTCACTGAGCCGAAAAAGGCAGAGAGATGCAATTGTAGGCAATATGAACTACAGACCAGTTATGAGAACAATTGTCTAGAACATATACTGCGTTCTGAGACCAATTGGGTCGCGAGGTGCAATACCTGGGTAGTTTTGACTTCTATCTGGTGGTCTAGATGTTGGATATCGCCCATTCCAACAACAACACCAATGCTTACGATGTTACTAAAAAGCATAGGAATAAATTCAATGGCTTTGTACCAATTGATCTGTTAGGACGTGACCTTTCCGAAGAATGCTATCCTCAATCGGTTGTGTGGGCTCATGCAATACTCGGTAATTGCGGGTTTGTGGGATGAAATGACCCCAAATTCATCCCAAAATCTACTATCATCTTCCAGGACCACCCATACTATCACAAAGACCATCCTATCCCCCCAAATCATGGTGAAAGACAGTTGGCAAGGTGATGTTCGGGAGTCAACGGGCAAGGCTAACCCGATATGAGCTCCCGCACGGACTCTTGGCAGCTAATCAACCCTTCAGCGAGTTTTTGCATCCACCTCCTCCATCCTCCTCCCACCACTCCCCATCCATTGAAGGACCAATTCATCTCCAACTCATCTCCACTCCGACCGTCAATACCATCACTATGGTTGCCATCGCTCGCTCCTTTGGCGCCGCCCGTGTGGCCGCCCGCGGCTTCACCAACGCTGGTATGTGTCGCGCCTGCCGCAGCAGCTCAAGCCATTGGCATTGAGCTGTGCCCGCTCATCAAGCAGCCATTGACCATCATTTCGCAGCCCGCCAGCCCACTCCCAACACGCTCGTCGCTGCCCGCAGCGCTTTCCGCAACAACGCCGCCCGCCAGATCATCCAGAAGCGTGGCATCGTCGCCGAGTCCACCGCTGCCGCCATGGTTGCCGCCGCTAAGATCCAAGGTGCTGGTCTCGCTACCATTGGTCTTGCTGGTGCCGGTGTCGGTATCGGAACGGTTTTCGGTGGTCTCATCCAGGGTGTTGCCCGCAACCCTTCCCTGAGGGGTCAGCTCTTCCAGTACGCCGTCTTGGGTTTCGCCTTTGCTGAGGCCACTGGTCTTTTCGCGCTCATGATGTCTTTCTTGCTCCTCTACGTTGCGTAGATGTGTGCATTACATTGACTGCCGGACATTTGGGGTCTTTGGTATGGGGGTGCCGCAAGGTGGAAAACTTTTCTTGCGGATGGGTGTGTGCATAGGGACGACTACTACCTCTTTCCTACTCTAGTGGCCGGTCAGATTGTGTAAAACATGTACTTTAGACGAGCAATCTGAAGAGCAAGCTACCACCACGGCTCGCTTTCCTTGATCAAAGCATGCGGAAGCTCTAGCTACGGTAATGACATGTGCGGATGAATGATATTAAGCTCAATCCACTCAATTGGACCCAAGAAGCAATGCCGAAGCTTCCCAATGCCCGTGCTGCGTTCCGTCATGAGCTGAGCTGTCGGATATTGCGATTTGGTCACGCCAAGCTTTTCGTTCAACCTCAGTTCGTGGCCAGCGCTTCTACCCCACCTCATACAGGATGAGTACGTCGTTGCTGGTTGTGCTTGCTATGCATCATGCTATGCACCATAATATGCACCACGCTATGTACCAAGCTCAGATGAGTTTGGAAGACTTGCTCGATGTCGTCGTGGTGTATGGTGGGGGTTGATGGGTATTGACACAACAGTTGGTCTAGCTGTACCATATCTCGAAACATACTGACCATGTTTAGGGAACTAGTATTAGCCTGTAATCGACATCGTGCGCGAGCCTCTGCTCGCTTCTCGAATGAGCGCCTTGGAGATGCAATGCGACGCCGACTCTACCACGACAACCCGCTTGCCCCGACACCACGTCATACAAAGCGAAGGACATGAATTCTTGAGTTCAGTACATAAGTACGTGATGTACTCGAGGGAACAACCATTCCGGCTCTGCAGGGGCGGATCGATCGGTCCTGCATCACCTCTTGCAAGCATTGATTTGACTCTTGTTTGGAGCACCACGCTGAGTCTCTGAGATGCGCGACATGGTCACAGAATAAGCAAAACTCGCTGCGCAATCATGTGGGTCGAGGTTGTGATGTTTCAGATGCGCGTTTGGTCAGTATGGTGAAGCTATTCCCGAAACATAACGTGCGAACATTGTCCACACAGCGACCAGAAACCAAACATGCATGAAGTCCCTGTCAACTGCGGAACCTTTGGTGCTTTCGAGTGGTAGAATTGAGGGTTCATGTTCGGGTCGTCGCAGCGCCGTGAAACTACAATCGGTTTTGGCGATGGGCTCAGCCAATACCGGCACGACTCTCATGTCTCGCTGAACATGCTGGTTGATATTTTGGTATATATCTCTCAGTATTCCTTTAGTTGAATGATCATCACAACCATTCCATACAATCATCTTCTAACAACCGTGCCGGTCACTTCTATTTTATACCCTTTACTTCACTCAAGTACTATTAAACCACAGCAAACATGCGTTTCACAACTTTCGTCGCCGTTGCCGCTTTCTCGGGCGCTGTCTTTTCTTCAGCTGGTAAGTCTTTTGATATTTTGTATCTACCAACAACTCTAACACATAGTAGTCAAGCGCCAGGACGATGTCACCAGCATCCTTGCTGCCCTCGCCGCTAACAACCCCGATGATGCGGCTGCTGCTAAGCTTCTGAGCAACATGAAGCGTGCTCCCCAAGACGACGTCACCAGCATCCTCGCTGCTCTCGCGGCGAACAACCCAGACGACGCTGCTGCCGCTAAGCTATTGAGCAACATGAAGCGCCAGGACGATGTAACATCCATCCTCGCCGCCCTTGCAGCAAACAACCCCGACGACGCAGCAGCAGCAAAACTCCTTAGCAACATGAAGCGCCAGGACGACGTCACCAGCATTCTCGCCGCCCTCGCCGCCAACAACCCAGACGACGCGGCCGCAGCGAAGCTCCTAAGCAACATGAAGCGCCAGGATGACGTTACATCCATTCTTGCTGCGCTTGCCGCAAACAACCCCGACGACGCGGCGGCAGCTAAGCTCCTGAGCAACATGAAGCGTGCTCCTCAGGATGACCTTAACAGCATTCTTGCTGCGCTCGCGGCAAACAACCCGGATGATGCGGCGGCAGCCAAGACTCTTGGTCAGCGATGGACTGCATAGGTTGATGTGATGATATGAGGAGTGGCGATGTTGGAAATTGAGCATTTAGGTTTTTGGTTTATCAGGTTGAGGGAGTTTGTATGTATTGTTAATACGATTCAAGTGTATATAACAGATTGGAATTGTAATACAAGAAAATTTTCTTGGTATGAGGTCTTGTGTATATGTCCGACACGCGCTGTTTACGAGCTCTTTGACTAGATCGAGATACTTGTCTCACAAACCTTGATATTGCGTAACCGAGTGAACTGTTCAATGGTTTGGTAACAAGCGTGTTGAATCGGGTAAAATGTTTAATGTTTTTTGGTGAAAATCGTGTTAAAGTATGCGTATCATAGTCGTTGAGTATAAATCCCGATTTTTTTTCTCTCACAAGACCGTTTGGTCTAAAACTACATTTTCCTAATCTATAGGGTTTGCCAGTGTTCGAGTAAGTTATACTATGTAGGGCAAAACATTACACTATCATTCCCGTTGTTCCAAGAATCCAGTAATCAGCATACGTCAACGGACCCCTCCCCGCCATTCCGACCCCGCACCTCACCCAACATATTCCAAAACTCGCGAATCCGCCCACACAGCCCATTTCACCTCTATTCGGTCCCCAACTCCACCAGAACGCTTGTTTTTGCTTTCTGTTGCAGTTATAATTCCCGTAGTCCAAAAAATTATTCACTTCTCCTAAAAAAGCTGCGACACGATGGCCGAGTGGTCTAAGGCGGTAGATTTAAGCTTTGCTTAGATCTCTACTACAGTAATGTGCGTGGGTATGTATCTTCTGCAACCTCTATCCTGTGGAAACTATGCTAACGGCGGTATCAGGTTCGAACCCCACTCGTGTCAATATATATTTTTGCCTTTTCTTTTTGCTTTTGAGGCTTTATTTTTTGCTTTTGGGATTATAGATAGGAAGTAAGCGAGGATCAGGAAGGTGTAAGGGGGTTTTCAAGTCACTAGCAAGTTCATAGTACGAGACGAAAGTTCTTTCTACCTAATATTAACATTATGTACTACTCATCCATTCCGCTTGTACCCGCTCCGGCTTCTTAACGCTTCTCCGTACTTGACTAGCACAAACGGGATACATGCCCCCAGAACGCTCAAACACCCCAGTAAAGTACATGCCCACTGTGTGCCCAGATGCTGGAACATCTGTACCGCAAATAAAGGGAAGAAAGCACCCAACACATACCTCAAAATCGCATTCGAAGCCATGGCACTGGCACTATACAGCGGCCCATATGTGTCCGTGATATACATCATACAGGCCATGAAAACAAGCATATTGCCCAAACCAAACAGCGCCTCCGCAATTGTCGGTACAATCCAATGTACACGATACGCAGCAGACCAACCAAAGAGAAAAAGCCCAATCGTCAGAATAGGCCCTCCTGCCATTGCCAGGGGAAGTCGCTTCTCTGGTTTCAGTTTGGAAGTAGCGAAAGGCGGGGGTGGCTGCTTCTCCACAACGGCTTTGCGCACTCGAGGGATGTAGTAGAGTTTGGTAAAAGAAACGATACCAACAGACGCGATGAGAACACCGACGCCCAGACCGAGGAATGTCAGACCAGTGGATATACTATCGAAACCGTATTCTCTCTCAAACACATAGGGAAATGCGGCGAAGAAGGCGTACAGAACGCCAAAGTTGAAGGCACTATATGTGTTGAAGGTTGCGACAATGGGTTCGGTGAACAGCATGTGCATGGGTCGAGTGAGTGTTCTGGTGGCGTACGTATGAATAACCTTGGGCCATGACATGCCTTCTGTTGGGAGGAGAGGGAGAGGCAGGTTACGCTGTTTTGCGCGCTTGCGGAGGAGGACGGGTTTGAAGGATTCTACGAAAAAGGGCGCGGGTGCGAGGACGAGGACAACGGTGAAGAAGAGGATTAGCCAGGCGGTCCAGCGCCAGGCGCGAGCTTGTGTTACGATGGCGCCGAGGATAGGTCCTAAGGCTGGGCCGAAGAAAGGTGTTGCTACGTAGAGAGACATTGGTCCTGAGCGTTTCTCCGGTGGCCAGATGTCGCTCAGAGTTCCAGAGCCCATGCTTAGGCTTGGAGATGCGAAGAAGCCGGCGAAGAATCGAAGGACAACTAGGGATGATATGCTTTGCGCGAAGCCGGTGCCGAGGATGAAGAGTGAGAAGATTGGGAGGCTGATGAAGATGACGGGTCGTCGACCGAATGTCTCGCTGAGTGGTGCGGCAAAGGGACAGCCGAAAGCGAGGCCCAGGACGTAGATTGAGTATGCGAGTGTTGCTATTAGACGTGTGGAGTTGAGCTCAGCGGCGGCTTGTTCGATAGCTGGTGTAAATACGGATGAGGCAAAGGTTCCTACAAGCGCGATGCCGCTGATTGTAAATGTTTGATACCATTTCCGTGTTAAACTCCAGTTGTGAGGGTTGAGAGGGTCGTCCGGGCCATCCCAATCGAGAGATGTAGGACGATCTTGTGGAGAGGGAACGGGTGAGTTTGGCGCTGTATCGTGGGCTGGGGATTGCAATCCTTTCTCTGGGTCTGAGTCTGACTTCGAATCTGACGGTTGACGACTTCTATCGCTTGACTTTTCCGCTTCTGCAGGACTTGGTGGTCGCGTCGACGCTGCACTGCTTTCTGACCACGATTGCTGCATGGTTGTTGTATTAGCTATATCACTCGTATTTCCACTCCACGCAGAGAAGGGAAAATATAGGACAGAGAAACATTTTCCTCCGAAACAAAAAGGGTTTTCGTATCATGCTAGTACGACCTGGGGTAGCACTACCCCAATGACGATACAATCGCCGAGTGAGGTGATCTCCAGCTACGTCTTAGCAGAATGCCGATCAGCTATCTCAACCTCGCATGATAAACAGATTGGACACTACAATCGGGGTCCTCGACGATCCTAGGTCAGATCCTGCGAAACACTGGTATCGTTGAGCCCGGTCGGGGCTCGAGAGGCAGATTAATGTGTGGATCGGAGGAGCTAACGATTGGAATCGTCTCGATCTTGTTTCTATTTAGCGGGTCTAATGACGACAGAGACTTCTTTTTTCACGTTTTTGCGGCCACTGTAGAAGCTTGGTGAAGCTTGAGAAGTGGTGGTTCAGATGTGCTTTTGCGGGAGAACAGAGCGCAGGCACTGCCCAGGTTTGACATGGCTCACACCCCTGAGTGCCTTCTGTCTTGCTTTCATCTCATGCAGCCACGCACCTCATCGACAATTCTCAAAATTTGCTTGCCCATGACTCTGTTATCTGCGCGACCAGACGCTGTGCATAGAAAATCTGCAAATACCGTGTCACTATGTACCTGCCGCTGTGAGACTGGGTATCCACAGATCGAAGGGTGTTGTTGGATACAGCGAGGTACAAGCAATCTGCCTGAGCTGGTTGCGCATCCACGAAGCCATCAAGCCGCGAAACGCCGCAAGCACGCCTGGGAGGAGGCACATGCGATCAGAGGTGTGTTGAGTTTCCGACAAGCTTAGCACAAGATCGGGACACCCAGCGGCCCCACTTTACTCACACCCGCTAAGTGCAGGTCCGTCGAACGCCATCCACGTCGCGGTGTCACCGATACTCCACTTCACAAACCTCGGTCTCCGAGCGAAGATCTCGATTAACCAGTTAGTTATCCATGACTGACATCATTTGATTAGTTGGCCTGCACTTGATGTGGCTTGTAATCGAAGGCCTTAGCGTTATAATCGTGTTCACCGGTGTATCCTGAGTTTTTTTACTCTGGCCTGTGTCTTTGCCCCCGTCTACTTTCATGAGCTATCAGGGTCTGTAGTATACACCAAAGTGAGCATTTCATGCTTTCTGTGTTTCTTCCTTCGCGCACAGGTTGATGCCCACCACTTCGGAGTCTTTGATTTCGTCAAAAAGGCGGACAGCAATTTACATTACCTGCCTCTCCTGGTCTAGGAAACCTGGAGCGTAAGGTTCCAGGTTAGAAGATCAATAAGCTACCTATAGCGTGTCACACCCAGTAGTCTACGCATCATTGGCTAGCACATGCACCGCAAGACCCCTAGCACATGCTACTCCCTACATACATGGATATCAAAGAGGGGTTGTTTTTCCTAAGCATGCACACAGCGAGTAGCTCCTGGCTCTATGATGGACTAATCGTGGCCTTGTCAACACTATCCGCTCTTGACGAAATCAAAGACTCCGAAGTGGTGGGCATCAACCTATGCGCGAAGGAAGAAACACAGAAAGCCCGTGCGATAAAATATCCTGGTAACTAACCAAGCCGGTGGGTGTTGAAGATACCGGTCACAAGGGCGTGGATAGATGTTTGAGTGCCTTGATTTTCACCAAGCACCGCGACAAACCGAGGAGTTCTTCATGATGTTGTCTTCTTTCGATAGGTGACTGCGCAAACCTGTTTTCATCCCTAATGTTTTCTCGCGCAACCTACTATGTAGCTGTCTAGCATGTAGCAATTCACTTGTTAACGAAACACCGTTAACGATGTAACACCACTAAGCCTAAGCAAACGTGACCACCTTGACTCTCCGCCGTCCAAGCGCGGGCGTCTTAAACATCTGGTGATAGACGTTTAAGGGGAGACAAGCTCTTTAAAGAACATGCCCGGGAATGCTCATCCTCCGCGTCGGTCTGGGCGGGAACTTCGTCGACCCTGTGTCTTCGATGCTAACCTAAGCACTTTCGAGTATACTCTTATCAAATTCATCTGCATAAAGGCTAATACCCCTCAGAAAAACGGGCAAACCCGCGGTTCCTCTTAAACTGTGACTCCTCTCAAACCTGCGATTCCTCTGCTTCCCGGCTTGACCTCTGTCCCCAGTTTCTCTTGCTTCTCGATCATGCACACGAAGTGGTCTCCGTGGCGGCGGCGGCAATACCAGTACCTACACTACACGAGCATTCGGACAAACCACTTGAAGTTCACATAGCCGCTACCACCGCTGTCAGCCTTGCTGCTCCCATCACTGTGTAGCAAGGGATTAAGACCTTAACCGAGACATGCTATTTTGTCGAAGATCTACATTCCAACGCCTTCTAATCGCACGCCCACACCTAATCTGTTGCAACAGACCTGCCCCTTGCGACACGCGTGGCATAGCTATTACTGAGCGCACAGACAATACCCCCGATACAAGTATCTTCTCGAAAATGTAGATGAGAAAGGAGCTAGCAGGAATTTCGCTATATCGTAAAGACCGCAGCACTGCTTTTATCGCACGCATCATCAGCACCCTAAACATAAATATACTTCTGAAAGAGCCGGGAGAATGGCCTACAACGCTACGCGGCGTAACTACCTAACCTATAACTGAAATTTCAGACGAAAGAGGGCAACAAAGGCGAAACCTATAACTTAAGGTCCGCTATTACTAGAAGCACAACTTTCTCAACAGCGCAGAAATGAGACCAGCTCTACAAGTAAAAGGGCATGAAGACGGGAGTCCTGAATAAGGCGAAAGGGTACGAGGATAGAAGTCTAGTAAGCGGTCTAGAGCTGCAGGCGCACGCACTGTTCAGCTCGATTTACAATTTTCTTGACTAGATATATGAGAGCGTGAGAAGAGAACACCGAGGTTTTGAAACTCGAACATCCAAGTGGAAAAGAAAAGGCCGGGAGAATGCAAGCCTATGACGCCTCCGGACGTCATGGTGCTTTGCAAACGGAGTAGAGGTGCAGTACCTATATACGTGTAGAATACGCCCCTTCGCTGCGTAGAGATGTAGAAATATACAACTTCTCTCTAGACGGAAAAATATTTAAATTACATTTGTGAAGTATGTTCACCTCTACATACATGCACATCCGACTACATCTGACCTGCAACACTAAGGCAGAAAAGCCTGTTCTTCTCTGCCCTAAAAGTATGAAAGAAATGCAAAGGCCGGAAGAATATATGCAGCTCCTTTCTCTCATGTGGAGTCGTCATGAGCTCACGTATACATCCAGCAGTCTCAGAACGAACGACGGTATTGCGATGGAGTCACTACAAAGCGCGCAAGGCAAACAAGATGAAGTATCATGGGAATCTATTTCTATCTTCTACGGGGGGATGAATCCGCAAAGATGCAAGGGGGAAGGTTTTGATATCCAGACGCCGGGCATGAACCATGAACCGTAAACACTACTGCATTATGTCATGAAAGGCCGACATCTTGTCGACATGCACCATAAACCCTCGTAAACCGGAAGACCGATGAAAGAAAACAACTTTTCGACGATGGCGATGCGTTTACTCGTCCTCGTCGGAGAAGACCTCCTCACCACGCTTGCGGCGGGCCATGCGGTCCTTCTTCTTCTTGCGCATCTCGGATGAGGTGAGCTTGGCCTTCTTCTTCTGGCTAGCAATCTTGTTACCTATCAGTTTGTTAGCATGTTTACGCGTACAGTGTGGCTGAGAAAGGGTCGGGAAAAGGTGGTGCCTCAGAATGGATTTCTGGGTCCGTGGAGGTTTGGGGGTGACCAGGGATGGTCGGGAATGGTGTAAAATGAACAGGAAAGCCTAGAAAACGGGGAATGCGAACCCATGGCGTCGAACTGCAGTGAGGTCAGTACGTGCTTGCATTAATGTAGAGTGAGGGGGACATACCTTTTCTTCTTCTTCACCATCATCCTTGGCAAGACGGGGTCCGGCACCCTGACCTTGCACCCAGTTGTGACCAGAAGGAGTCATGCGACCGTCCATGACGGCCCAGACTTCCTCAGTAAGGTTGGCGGTAAACTCAGCAGAGTGAGTGATGATAATGACACCACCCTCAAAGGTCTTGATGGCCTTGGAGAGAGCGCCAAGAGAATCACGGTCCAGGTAGTTAGTAGGCTCGTCGAGAACGATCAAGTGAGGACGCTGCCATGAGCAGGCAGACAGAACGACCTTGACACGCTGTCCACCAGAGAGACCACGCATACGTGAGTGAGAAACAAGTTCGGCGTCGAGACCGAAGTTGGCGCAGTGGGCCTCAATCTCCTTACGGACAAGAGGACGGAACTGACCGCTGGCAAGAGCCTCCTTTTGGTCAACCTCAGCAACCATCTTGGCGTGGGAGGCCATGATCTCGGAACGAGGAATCCAGGCGTTGTCAGCAGACATCATGGGTGTCCAGCGCTCGTTCTTCATGCCGACGTTCTCACCGAGAGCGAACGAACACTCGTACTCGTAAGAGTTCTTGAACTTCCTACGAGAGTTGATACCAATGACTCGACGCTCGGTACCCTCAATCTTGTAGATCTTGTCCATGGCCTTCTCGTCCTCCTCGGTGACGATCTTGTTGGCACGGTCCATGGTCTCACGGTCCTCACCAGTCTGGAAACGCCATTGAATGTACTCGGAAGGAGTCTTGTCAAGGTGGTGGTCGATATGGGCGAAAGCGTGTTGCTTAATGTAAGCAATACGGATGTTCTCGTGGTGGTAAATTTCACCCTTGGTAGGGACAAGCTCACCAGTCAAGACGTTAACGAGAGTAGACTTTCCGGCACCGTTGGGGCCAATGACGGCAATACGGGATCCAAGCGAGCACTGGAAGGTAATGTCCTCAATCTGGGGCTTGGAGGTACCCTCGTACTGGAAGCTCATGTTGGTGGCACGGAGGATAGCCTTGGCCTTGGTCTTGACACCCTCAAGGAAACCGGGTTCAGGGAACTTGAACTCCATGTCGG